AGGATTATGCAAGGCAGGCTTGGTTTTTACGCCGTAAAAACTGATCGTATTTACGTTTTTACGCGTAAAAACAGTTTTTACGTTTTTACGCGTAAAAATGCGTAAAAATACGTAAATACAACGTAAAAACTGCCCGGTGTACATAAGGACAGTACACACAGACTTATGGAGTCCGGAGAGCGGCAGCCAGATGCCCTGGAAGGGGTAGAAAACGAGTTTTTGTCAAACACCATCATCGCCCTTGCCAAGGGCGGGGTGGACACTGTGTTGCGGGTGCTGGATATGGCGGAGGACTGATCATTGTACGCAACTTTCATCACGTAATATGGGCGTCCAAGGGAGCCGCAAAAACGTAAAAATAGCCGTAAAAATAGGGCCTTTTGCAAATTTACGTTTTTACGCGTAAAAACGTAAAAGTAAAAACGTAAACATAAACGTAAAAACCAAGCCTGATGCAAGGTATGCAAATCTGTGCCTGGCACGGCCATTGCGCATGCGGCGGTGCGTTGCACTACGCCTACCCACTGACGAATGGACTGTTCTAGTGGAAGCCGATGTGTCTGTCGTCTCCTCTCCAGCGCAAGGGATTCGGGTTTCAAAGAGCGGGTGCGAAGGCGGGAAGCATTTATTTTCTTCTGCCAAGCAAATCCGCAATTGCACGATCGGTGTTCGGGTCGCCAATATATGATATGAAATTCATGGCAAGCTGGCAACCCGTGGACTTCAAAACGTGGCTAGGAAGTGGTGAACATCCACAAAATTAAAATAGGCTTATCTCCTCCAAACAGACGAACTCCAACATAGAGGAGTATACTCAGACGACAATGCGACGAGACGTATGGGTATCTCGATATGCGTCCGATTCTGCCAAGATACGGGACACGATACCGACGCCACGGAAGGTCCTGCATCCCAGGAAGCGACGTGACGCACTGCTCCGCTCGCCACCCCTCGAGGCGGGCATGTTTGGTTCACGGAGCGGCGTCCTCACCCAAAAAGTGTGTCCGATAACACAGCACTGCCAGGAGGACGGATCTGCACCGATCGGCCGCAGCAATGCGCGTCGATTGGCTCGCACCGGCGATCGGGTTCGAGGGGTTGCGAGCACCGATGGCAATCTGTGGGACCGGCGATGGCTGCGACTCGTGGCGAATCTCCGCCGATTGATCCACCGGCCGGTTGGAGGCCTCGAAGGCTGCGCGGGATTGCGGCTTGCGGAATGCGCAAACAGCAAACGGCGGAAGGCGCCAGCGCTGGTGATGGCGCAACGCAGCAACGCGCTCACGGGAACGGGTGACTTCGCGGGGGCAGATGTATTGCCGCCGGAGTACTCACAGTGGCTGGCAGGGCAGCCACCGTAGGCGTCCAGAGCGACGCCGTAGGGGCACGTTCTAAATGATATCCCAGGCGGGAAGATTTCGACAATGTCGGCCAAGTTTTCCATCAAAGGTGATCAACTCGAACTGACCCAAGAGAGGTACTGATGCGTGCTACAACAATCCACGACATCTGCAAGGCAATCTACGCAATTTGATGGCTATGTTACCAAGTTTCAATGGGAGATGATGGTCAGTCTGTGTGATTAATGCCATTGCAAGCCTATGCTGAAGACACTGACGAATCAAATCTCTGACGTCCCGGCTTAAGTGACTGAGGGACTCTCAAGATGCTTGCTGGAAATAGGTTGGACTTCTCAGTGATTGCCGTGCACCAAAGCGCCAAAGCTGACGTGGAGTTTCATGCTGATCAATGCATAATTGATTCAGACAGCCTAGGGCGAGGTGTGGTGTTATCTCTTTTCAATTCTTCTGCCTCAGATAAATGTATTTTACGTGTTTCTATGAGGTCTGCCAGCCCAACAGGGATGGGACCTATTACGCAGGGAAACATCAGGAATCTGGTCATGAATTTGGTCATGAAAACTTATTGAATTTTGTTGCTGATGCGCTGGTGAGTGTATCAGTCCTTTAATTCAATCAAGAAGCATCATTGGGGTGATTTGTGGCGTGGCTGTGACGCCACAGTGTCGTTTGGTATGAACGAATATTCCTGCGAATCTTTCAGGTCGCATCACAGATTCGATGGTGGTACTGCGCGTGTGCTGGACAGGTGACGAAGGAGTAAAGTGATGGCCACCTGAGCGTTACAAGGGGGTTATGTGAGGATTAAAAGATCATGCTGTGAGGTTTGCAGAAGCTCGCTCAGATGTGATACGAATAGTAGAGTATGAGGCGCGAGGAGAGTAAGAATGATGTGAACTGCCATGTTCGGACGCGACCTGATGGAAATTGTATAGGATTCGATTGTACTGCCTTTCTGACGTGGGCAGGGTATTTTTGGGGTGGCTGCTGTGCTGTGTGTAGGCTGCACGCTGCTGTGCCCGGTGCCTGAGGGGCTGAACGGATGGACCATATTCTGCGAAGTTGTAAACACTCCGTTGGCATTCTCCTCATGAGGAGAATGATCATGTGCGACCCGTGCGCACAGGCCGTGGCGCACATCCCGATCAGACCAGCTTCGCAGCCAAGAGTTTGAGGTCTCCTGCGCTCGAATTTCGACAGAGTGCGCCCACTGTAATCTCGCCGTTCGAGCGCCTGGGCTTCCAAACGGTTCAATGAGAATCGAAACGGCTTCCCCCGTGTTTCTCACCCAACGCCCGGATTTCTGCGTGAGCCCGGACGTGCAAGGCCCAGAGGCCCGTTCAAGTCGGGTTTTCCGTGGCGGAATCGCTGGCGACATGTTCGTGAGCTGTACGACCCTGGATTCGTCCTCTTCGACGCAAATCCAATCGAGCCGGAAGGCGGGACAGTCGAAGGCTTGGCGCTTGTGGATTTTCGCCCAGGTAGCTGCCATGTCAGACGGCCACCTTTTTCATCGGTCAATCAGAGAGTGCGAATGTCACAGTGAAAATGTGAGGGCTGGCGCGGTAGTGGGCATCGCTGCCAGTTCGGCCATGGCGACAAGGCCACTATACATGCCTCGTGTGCAGCTTCCATTTGCCATTCAAACTGATGCAAAATGTGGCGGGGAATCCGTTGTTTCAAGCGTGCAGTGGAGGCCACAGTAAATCCTCGCCAAGTATGGCGTCTCCATGTACGAATTGTGTACAGTTGCTGCTGCAGAAGCAGTGGGTGCGGGCGCCATGGACCGGTTGGCCGACGCCTTGCAAGGTGCGATGGCATGTGGGGTTGGCGGCACGCTGTTGCAGCGTCGACTATACCTCGAAGACTAAATGTTTCGCTGCGGTCCCGCAAGCATCACGCCTTTAAGGTGCGGCGCGTGAGGCTTCTGCACACCTCGACTGCACACGTCCGCGAGTAGACGAATGGATCTGGCGAACACAAATGGATGGTAGGAGACTGACCCGATCCCCCCGAGCCGAGATGCATTGCAGCGCCAACAACTGCCCTCGCCCGCCAGCACGTTCATCAGGCAAGCGGCGCGGCCAGCCAAGGAGAGTGGCGGCCGCGGTGGTGTTGTTTCCATATTTCCTCAAGCTGGAACGAGTTTTGGCCCCTTTCACGCGTTAATATTGCCTACCGTATTTACCCGATATTAGTAGGCGTATATTGGACCCTCAAAATGGGCAGTGGATACTAATAGTGGGTCATGGATACTAACGAGGCTTAGACCCCTGATCCAAGGATTACAGAGAGAAAATTTGAAAATAGCTATTGAAATGCGCAATGGAGCGTTTGAAATAATGCAAGATGAGATGCATATGTAACGACATCACCCAATCAAAATTACAAAATCACAGACACCACATTATTGACAACTTCATATTGTAAGCGACAATGCTGTTGCCACCACAAAATCCCAAACAGAAACACAGAAATGCATTCACGATCAACCGCTGTCCACATCCATATCTGATGCAAAGCCGTCAAAATCCTCATCAACAACATCCCCAGTCATCAACAATTTTGACGGCAGATTCCAGCAAGTTCGAGTGGACGGCGGCTCTACCGTGTGGCCCGGTTGGTGCGGCCCCAATCAAGTTAAAGGCAAGCTTGGGCGACCTTGGCGAAGAGTGTGCGGAGACTGGTTGCGAGAAGCGCCAGGGGTGACAGCTGGTCGTGTGACATGCATGCCACCAGGCGCGGCCCAGCGTTGCAAATAACAACCATCGTGTTCCCCCAACAGCCAAGAAATGTCGAAGGAAACCCCATGGCACATGGCAGGCACGTGCGTATGTGGCTGACAGGCTACGCTGCGAGTAGTTGAAGTGGTTGGATGCACTTTACAATAGTTGTTGTGCAACGGGGTGGCGCGGGAACCAGTGTGACTGCCGCAGAGGCGAGCGCCATGGTGAGAATTGTTACATAAACAAGAAGGGCCGCCAGGTCTGCTGGCAACTAGGCCAGCAACTGTGCTACAGACGCATGGCCTGCAGTCGCTCAACAAGCAAACAGAAAATCTTCCCATCAAATTAGCTGCTCCAGCTGTGAGGCTTACAGCCATCACATGCATCGCACCACAGGATGAGCAGCTTTTTGGCAGTTGTTGCATGTTGAGGTTGTGCAACAAGAGTGCTGTGCAAACAAAGACATGAAACTAGCTTTCTCTCTCCAAGGCGAATTCAACGAGCCCTCTCGAGCTCGTTTCTGTTGAGATTATGGGGTGGATACTAACACCGGGTCATGGATACTGACGTGGTCGCGACCCCCAAAGGCGGGGGTGGATACTAATAGGGGGTGCCTATTAATACCGGGTAAATACGGTATGTTCAATATTCAGCAGTTCAACACGATTTAAAAACCGAAGTTGATCGCGTTCAATGGTCGATTCTCGCCAATGACTGCGTCGAGGCATCTACACAAAACAACTGAAGGGTTCACTTGACGAGGCACGAGCCGGCGAGAAGACTCGGTTCCAGCAACAAGACTACATCGATATTTGGATTGCCACTGCATTGTGCTCACGTGCTGTAGCTTTCCCGATGAGAAAGATTAGTGCAGACACAAAATCCCGAACAGGATGTCGACATGGCTACAAATTCAGATTCTGATTACACGATTGCACAATCGCCAGGCGTGTCGCCGTGGTGAGCCCCTGCCACAATCTGATGGCCGTGGGTACATCAAACAAAGACTTCCTTCCAATTCGTCATCCTCGCTCAAAGAATCCCAGCGGAAGCCAGCACTGGGAGTCGCCTGAACTTGCTGAGGCTTTGCGCCCCATGCTGCGCTTCCCTTTGTGCCAACGGCCTCCATTTGGCACTGCACACACTTGCAGGCAACGTGCCCCAGGCCTAGTTCTACAGCACCAAAAGCACTTGGACATCTGCCCAGTGCTTTGCCAGCAAGGAAGAGCAGCTGGCTTGAGACCACGGCTCTGCATTTCTCACTCGGAACCCAAGCGGGGTCGTGTGCGCGCACACCACCATATTGGGTCAATTCTCGCAGCATGCCCAGACTATCAGCACGCTGCGAAAATTGGAGCCGAAGATGCCTAGCCCCAGCCACGGGTCTGGTGGACAACGGCGTCAAACACTTCCATCCAGAAATGAGTCCAGAGTTTCACAAACAGTCAGCAACAGCTCTTCCGCGTTGACCTTCAGGGTCACGCAGCGGGCAGGGCGGGCACTTGCAGCCCCTTGTACTTCTCATCAGTCCCTTGCCGCCAGTTCACATGCTCCAGTGTGTTCTTGTAGAACTGTTTCAGCCCATCGCCCGCTTGTTTGTCTGCCATCTCGTTGGCCACCAAGTCTATGAGCTGCTGCAGCACAGACAGCGTGATCTGGCTGTTGCCTGCCTCGAAATAGAACAAGTACTGGTTGAGAAGCTCCACATACAGGCTGACGGGCTCCACAGAAGGCCTCAGGGACCGAGCAGTGATGCCACTGCGACGCTGTGCGGCGTTCGCCAGCTTGATGCACCGCTTCAGGCTGCGCATGACGCCCACCGGGTCGCGCACAGGTGCCTCGCCTGCAGTGCCAGCCCTTGCCGGGGCATCTGCCGCAACCTGTGCGACGCGACACCACAAGCACGAAAGACTTCAACAATGGTATTAAGATCATGCTTCGATTTCACAACTTGTTCTCCTGACACGGGACAAGGAACGAACGAATTCGCACCACTGATGGACGATTTCAGGGATGGAACTTGGCATCAGCACAGATCAGTAGGATGCAATGTAATTGGGGTGCATGAGAGGTGCGTAGCAAAGCCATGAACACTGGCCAGCCAGCAGGCACACCAGCAGAGCTAAGAGCTGTTTGGTAGTGTTCAGGGTCAAGTTCTCTGGCAGCAAACACTTCTGCTGTGCAGGACATCGCCCACTGGTTCAAAGACACTCATGTCCTGTACTTAGATGAATGGATGGTGTGTGCATAAGTCTGCGACTCACATCAAGACAAAGCCAGCAACACATCTGTCATGGCCAAGATCTCCCAGCGCCTGCACGGGTAACAATGCTCTATTTACAAACCCCATTGCCACACTCATATCTATTTGAGAGACACCTCCCATGTTTCATCTCCTTTTTCTTTTCCTTTTCACGCTGGCTGGACAGATCATTCAATTTGCCAGGGGTGGGGCCCCAATATCCAGCAATGCACATACCATTAACAAAACACCGTGCTCACTTCCAACTCACTGACACCTTGTAAGTTTCATGCTTTCTCTCTATGTTTACATGCTGGCTGGACAGATTATCTGCTTATGGGAGTATCCCCCATTCCTGCCAAAGAGCTGCCTGCTGCCAGTACACCATTTTCACTACCATTTCAATAACACCGTGATTTCCAGCTTTATTTTCTTCCTGTGCTTACTTGCTGCTTGTACAGATCATCTACCTGCTTGTGGCTTTTCCCCTTTTCACAGCAACGTACCTCCTGCTGCCAAAACACATGCGAGTACAGGCACACAGCGCGACACTGCTCCTCCTTCTTCAGCAAGTTCGCGCAGTAGCCTGAGACAGTCTGCGCAAGTGCAGCACGGCTCTCTGCCGGAAAGACGTGGCAGCGGTGCAGTGTGCCGATGATGGCCTGCAGCGCAGTCTCCTTCTCGCTGGAGCTGCTGATGGACTCCTCGAACAGAGTGCAGGCCTGCAGGCATGGCCACAAGGTATTTGAGTTCTCATTGCTGGTGATCTTGTACAGAGTAGCTACCGTACAATATTCAACCCTTCCGCATCAGGAAATTTTACCATGATGCTTTTGCTCCTCATTTTGTTTTTCAGAGCCTTATTTCTGTACTTTTATGTTGCTCCAGTATAAGAGGCCAAGCATTACGTTACTATGCGGAAGGGTTGAGTGTATTACATTAGTGTGGAGAATGTTGCTGTGCTGATTTTTGCCAGCAATAAATGACAATGGACGTTGTTCATATCCTTGTCCATTTGGATAGATCTTTGAAAACTCAATAATTACTAACAAATGCAGTGCAGCAGACCTCCCAGTAATTTGTGTACTGCCTGTCCAGAGAACCCAATAAGCACAGTCCACTAAAATGGAATGTTATAAGTCTCCTTGTCCAACCTGACACTAAATCGGGGCAAACCTTCCACATGGCAGGTGCCGTGTCAACACAGGGATCGCCACAACTGCCAAATACAGCAACCATGCAAAGTGAGCCAATGCACTCCGTCCTTTGCCCCCTCAAGCAGCAGCCAGTACTTCAATGTCACAAATAGCAACATACTTCATCAGTGCACTGAGGCAGTGGCATGTCAGCTCAGCAATTAAATAATGTGGACACCTGCACATCTGCACAGCACGAAACTAATATTAGGGAAATGGGAACTGCGATTATCAGGGGGACGCTTCTAGCAAAAGTGCAAAACTAGTTAACAAGCACGTCAACTGAGTTGATGAACTGGTACCACATCAACAATGTACTGTAAATTAGTAAGCATCTCCAGACAAGCCAAAGGATGGTGCTTCAACGCGCTTTGACAAATGCAGCAAAAGAATATGTGCTATGGACCTGCTCAAAGCAATCGTAGGCGGTGTCCTCCAGCCTAGCCTCCTCACTTGCAGCGTGCCCACAGTGGAGCAGGCAGCGCAGTGCCATCATGGGCCGCGGCACCTGCGCTGCCACAACAAAGTGTCAAGTTCCAAAGCACATTTTCCGTTCTTGCACAGTTGCTCTGCTTTGCCCACATTTGCAGCAGAGGAAGGGACACAGGTTCCAGAATGGATTCGGTAAGACACATGTGCTGATTTCTGGTTTGCACAGGCCCTTTGGGACACTGCATAGCAGATAGTATCTGCCTAGTATTACTTGCACTGCCATTCACTGCCACACAACTGGCTGGGAGTGGCTTGTCAACAATCGCGGATGTTGTCACAAGAAAGACTTGTGGTGACAAGTGATTGGGGGACCAAGCCACAATGCTGAACATCGCTGATTTTCGAATGTGGCAGTCTTAGGCCTGATGGCAAGCATTTCTCAGCCTCCACATTGCATTGCACTGTCACGCGAGGTGCCAAAGACTACAAAATTTGCAGTCTCGCCAGGTTGACACCTGATCAATTACGTCTCAACCTGAGAGAACTAAAAACCAGAATAACTGTTTTCCAATCGGACTCTTCTTAAGGCTAAGGAACACACTTGCGCATCATTGAGACAATGATACACAGATGCACACACCGCCAATCATCACCTTGACATGTGCTCGGGTGCGATTCACCATTGTCAGAAACTATCGAAGCCAGGGACAAACTGTCAACGAAGGTATGAAGGTAAGGAAGGTACAAACAGTCAAAGCCAACAACCGAAGCAAATCGAACTGCTGGCCCCAGCGGGCCAGCAGGCAAAACAGCTGCCGATGACAGACCGAGCTAAACAGATTGAGCAGACCGAGCTAGTCGGGAGATCGAAAAGATACACAACATCCGCACCTCCACGATTAGATGACACCTGGCCAGCAACCAGTCCAGCACGCCCTCGAAGGTCACCCCACCGGCCAGGGCCTGGCCCTTGGCCTGCAGCATCGACATGTGCTTGATGAGCTTGAGCCCGGCAAACACCAGGGGAGGCAGGTTGAACTTCATGCGGCGGAAGCCGCCATCCTCAAACTGCTTGCCGACCTCCTCCAGGATCTTCATCTGCTCAGCAGGGATGGGGGACCACAGGCTGTGGACCAGGCGAGCTATCAGCGTCTGCTCGTCCTCAAGGTCCTGGGGGGGCATGTACCTCAGAAGTCATTTCTCAATCAGGAGCATCAGGGGGTAAATTGTATAAGTAAAAGTAAGTTAAACCATATGAGAGAAAGTTACAAACACTAGGATCAGAAAGATAACAAGAAGAAAGCAATAAACTAAAAACAGCAAAAACACTACAAGCAGAAGATTATCAAGGAGAGAGATTTGGCCCTCTAGTTTTGCAGTGAACACAGGAATCTAGTCCAATCCAGTCCAATATTCTGGATGTTGAAGTCGCAGCCAGCTTTGAACACCACAGATGATGTGAGATAAGGCTTGAAATTTGTGCACACCTAGCAGGTGAGATGAACAAATGAGAACAAGACATAAGACAACAGAAGGCAATGCTCAACTCAGCAAGGCATAGAAGCACACTGGGACATTTCTTGCAATGGTCAAGCTGTCAGAAATAAATCCATTCAATAAAAAGCTTGAACTTATGTTGCTCCATATGGAATGACAGGGACATACATTCTATATGGATGCTCCATCCCATTTAGACAAGGCCAGGCAACATGTGCATTGATGTGCCTTTCCTCCTCCCCACAGCATAGGAACGCATGTTTTGCTTTATAGCGATGCACAGCACTTGAAGGTATGAAAGATCGGGGGAGTGAACATGCACATGGACAAGTGGACTCTGAGCAAGAGTCCGACTCCAAAATCAGTGCAACCACATTACAAAGTGTGGGTGTGCACTTTCTGTTTCTGATTTCGAAGGTATAGTTGGACTGTTTCATTACCTCACCACCTCTTAACAGATTCATACCTCCCCAGAGCAAAGTGGAAAATTGCAATTTGACAACTTCCAGAACACAACGGAAACCCCTGTTCCGTGAACGAATCTGCGTGCTGCAGTATATCCTGCAGAAGCGCCCATGTGTACTGGCAATGAAGCACACATCTATAGACATTTATTTTGCTACACAATTGTACAATGTCCCTTGAGCATTCTGCTGCCACACTCCTTCAAACAGGAAAAACATCAACACAAGTTTCACAGCAAGGCGATGGCACGCAGCAAAGGTGCATTGCCCAGTACCTCACAGGATTCACATCAAATCGACATCTTATGTGGCGATTGTTAACAATGTTAGCAGCAGCGTTCGCATATATACTTTCACACTGCATAATACCTCGCAACACATAACACATCACAGCAGTACCTCATCATCGATCTCCTCATCGAAGCCCTCTGCGTCCTTGATTAGGGGCGCAATAAATGTGAACAGTCGCCGCACATTCTCAAAGCTGTCCACAATCAGGCCGCCCTCCGTGATGGCCTGCACGATCTTCACAGCCATGTCTTTCCTCTTGCGCATGCGCAGCAGATCCATCAGCCGAGGGTAGCTGTCCAGCCCCAGAACCCGCACGACGTCGTAACGGGTAAGCGGCGCTGACAGCAGGTCCACCAAAGTCTTCTCACCCTTTGGATCGCTCACAGTGCCCCGATCGCGGAGCGCCTGCCACAGACAGCAAAGGGCTCACGGATTCCCAACATGAGGTGCTTGAAGCAAGTGCTCGCAAATAAAACACAGAATTTAAACATCTCAAGTAATAAAATGCAGCATAAATTGCAATACCCAGCCATTGTGTGTGCTGGATGTCAGCATCTGAGCACAAGAGTATGTGTATGTCCCTGACAAAGGACATGCGATCAAAAGGAATTGATTCGTTATATGATTAGATAACATCAAGATGAATACACAAACAACATCACAATGGTTTAAAGATGTGGCATAACTATATGAATAATTGATTGTTAAGGAAAACTATTCATGTGACACCATTTGTGTCAATATCGTCGTTGCAACTAAGTGGTGTTTGGACATGGTTTGTGGGTTGCATGCTTGTGCCCAACACTGCATGGCACAGTTTGGACAATCTTGATTGTGGCCACTGGGCTTGCCAGAAACGAGAATGCAACTCTGCAATACAGCATGTTCCTGCGTATGGCTCATCACACAGGGTGAGTGCAGGGGGATCCTGGGAGAAAACTGCTCTTTTCTGCGCCATCATGGAGAGCCCTATTCAATGTCCAGGAGTGTGACATATGCATCAAAACAGAGAGAACGAAAGGCCAGGGTGTCACAGAACTGTGGGCACACAGTCCTACGAGCACCCTGCCACCAGTGGTCAAGATTTCTTTCCAACTGAAAAGTTGAAAACTTGTTGTATTATGTTTAATATTCTGGCACAAGAAGGTTCAAGACTGTCTGTTCCACTGCAGAATGTCCCTAGAGCAAGAAAAGAGGGATGCAAGAATGGCTTAAAAACTCAATCAGCATACAATACTTCAAAGGTGCTCCTGCAATTTTATCTTTGCCTTGATTCCAATGACTTCAACAAGGTAAAGCATAACGCCCATAAGGCAATTTCTGGCGTAACCCACATCCACAAATACTTTTTTCCCAGGATCTTCACGATCACCACAAGCAAGAAAGCCAACCTACAACATACGAAGCACAGCACCATGCCAGGCACTGCTTAAGGTGCTGTACAATGGCAACTACGAATACATCAGTTTCCACCTAATTCAAATGCAACAGACATCCACAGCAACTGAAAGGCACTGCATTCTAAGCTCAGAATTGGGCAACTTGAAGGGTTGTGGCATCCTGCAGAATGCTACCAGATTAGGGGATAACTATCAACTGTAAAATTGAACATCAGGATAATCAGCATAGCTAGGGGTCTGCTTTGCAGCAAGTTGGGAGCAGCCTGTTTCATTTGGCCGAATTGTGGGTGTGGAATCTTGGGGTCAGTCAAGTGTGTTTTTGGCCTGGCTACCAGCACAGACAAGGCTTTCAACTCACCTTGTGGCATGCTTCAAGAAGGCCATTAACATAATCCAACCTGTCAGGATGGACACTTCCAGTGAAGGCCAAAAGTGCCACATACATCTCAATGACCTCGCCGGCATGCATCTCTGGGTGCTGTGCAGTGACCTAGGCAAAAGGCCAGGTGGATGCGGCAGGCTGTCAGGACAGTAGGATGGCTGGCAAACTTGCTGGCAGTGCATAGCAATGCCTGCAAAAATCGCACAACTTGCATACAAAGGCGGAGAATCATCAAACGGTGTCCCTCAGTGTTGCTTTTCTACTTCGTATTTTGGTCTTTGCACTTACTTTGCCGCTTGTTCAATGCTGTGGTTCTACTTCTTGCCCATTTGTTTTATTGTGGTAATTGCAATCAGATGAAGCCAAATGTGTACAACGCTGCATGGTGCAGGAAAAAGCAGAAACTAAGGTAATGCAATGCCAAGCTGCAGGCGTTCAGGTTTTTTGGGACCAATGATCGACAACCGGCAACAGATGGGCAGCGGTTGGAGCTTAACCAACGCACAGACTGGGCTCAAAGGCAACACTAAACACCGAGTGCCATGATGGCTATGAATGCATTGCATGGCAAACAAAACACTAATATATGATGTAATACTTGAAGCAATTCGCCCACATGAAAGAATAACAACAATAGCAGCTGCAACAACCAGACACAAACTGCAGCTACCAGAAGTGCGAGTATCAAGTACCAGAGTAACCCCAGGGCTATTTGAATGTGTCCTTAAGCAGCATGGAAAATGCCACTCTAGTCATGGGATGTGCTTTTGCTGAGCTCAGGACTTCACATGATGGAATTTTGTTCCCACAGTTCACAAGACCCTCACAATACAGAACAAGAGATAAATTCTTCCCCCAAGAAGAGCACAGAAAGGCAATCAGCAAAAACGGACTCCCCAGTCGAATCGCATCAGATTCCTGCTGCCACTTGCAGTTCACCAAGCCACTCATCACACATTCGACTTAGCAGCACAGCAAGGGAGGAAACCACTGTGGCTGCAGGAACATTGCTACACATTGTAAGCAAATCAGTTCATGCCACTGTTTTGTACCCCACCCTGTCGCAATCAGCTACCCTCCTACAGCTTCAACTACTCATTTGACACATGTCAAAAGCAACATTTTCTACGCCAATTCGCCAGCAGCGGGGCCCACTTACATCGCAGCAGGTGGTCTCAAACCTTGCAAATGCGTCCACCTGCCTTACACTGGTCGGGTACTTCTCTGCATACTGTGCCAGCCGGTCCATAAGGCCCGCCATGATGAGGTGCACCTTGACACCCTCCTTGAGGCGTGGCAGCGTGCCCAGTAGGTCGTCCAATGTGCCCAGGTGGAACTCGTCAGGAAAGCAGTGGATCACGCATTGCATCAAGTACTGCTGGGCGATCACATCCTCGCAACAAATGATCTGGTCCAGGACCTGTTGGCATGGCCACGTGCAACGAGCTCTCAAATAGAATTCTGAAAGCACATCATTGCAGTCGGCTTTTTGCCAAAACTGCAGGGGGTCAGTAGTCTTGATAGAAGTTGATGGCACCAGTCTTGGTTTCTGGTTTTGGCAGTTTGGTAGTGAATTTGATCGTTAGGTGTGCAAGTACAAAGACACAGAGACTTTGGTAAGAAAACAGCAGCAATGGTTAATAATCCCACACAAATTATGCACAGTGGCCACACGACAAGCGCACAAGAATTGTGCAGCGGGTGCAGTGGCATGGGCAATGAAGGCAGTTGCACAATCATGGCAGCAAAGGCTGCTGAGAGACTTGCAGTTCCAAATCTATTCTTGATTTATTTCTAATTTCCAATTCCCCTTCTTCAGTACGCCTGCTGAGTTAGTCCATTGGAAAGCGGATGGCTGCACTTCTGCATTTGATGCGCGTCATCAAAATAAGCATTCCACCATTTCAGTACCCACGTCACACTGCTGCAGCAAGCACTGAACAGGCTCCTGGCACCAGACTGCTTGTGGAATTCCCTCCAGTCATTTTGGCCAACCGGGCAGGTCAGCTAATGGGCCTGCGCAAGTTGGCATGGGCATGTGTGGGAATCAGGTAAGTGCTATCAGCTCGCTGTTGATTGCAGCAAACCGATCTGCAGGCACAGGCTTTTGTGTTAGAATCCCCCCACCACTGGACCGCCCCTGATACCTCACAGTGTTCAGCAAACAGATCAAAACATGGAAATTTCGTTTCGGGTCAGGTGTGCGATGGGTCAGTGCAATGCCCATGGATCTGTTGGCGGCTCCATAGTGTGTGTCTCAGCCTCACCCTTGACAGGACAACCCCTGAATAAAGGTGGAAGTCCAGACCATCAAGTTGGCTCAAGTATGTCAGGTTCTTGCCCACAAGGTCTTGGAGCATTTTCCTGTCCATCTCCCGCTTGTCCTGGTCCAGCTTGCTCCCCTGGTGGTGCACGAAATTCTTTACTACATTAGCTGCATTGATTAAGATTGCTGGCTGAAAATCGACAAACCACTGCCCAGGCAGTGTTGGGCCGACAGAGTGCACACAAACAGTTTACACATGCTGCATACACTAAAGCAATACTTAAATGTGGGATGAATGCGCTATGCAAGGATACACAGCACAACCCCATGTGCACAAAAGAATGCAGTCCAATTCTTGCCATGTAAGTTAGTAGCCGCAAACGCAGCCATATGACCTGCCAAAGCATCGATCATTTGTGACACAACTTGGCAAACCACTGCGCTTTGCATGCTAGGGCATGCTGGGCACTGTTCACAAGCACAGCTATTTGCTAAACTGTCTCCTCTCTCAATTAACCACAGACTGACCTGGTGCTGCATGCGCACCCATAGCTTGTTCATCTCAATGAAATTTGACAGCAGGAAGTCCATCGCGTCATGGATGTTTCCACCAGTGCCCTCGTAGTCAGAGCCTGTGTCAGGCAACAGTCCGCGAGAGACCTGCAGGTCAGGGGTCAAAAGGAGCCAATGGCCAGTCAGCATTTGCAAATGTAAGTCTGCTTTCATCGAGCTCTTCAAAGCTGGCAGAAGAAATCCTGCCCTTGCACCTACAAGCTGATGACAGCCATCTTACAAACTACGAATTCTGTCCCAGATGTCCTCTATATGGCCTTCTGCTAGACTCAAAGCAAATCAAACTTGGGACATGTTTTGGGACTGGTGTGTATGCACGTTGTGGACATGCTGTGCAAGGACTTATGCCCAGCAAAGTCACGCAGGTGTGCTGTCACAGCTTTGCCACTTGTGACCCTGGACTGAGAAGATCTTAACACCAGTCCTCCTGTGACAAGGGTTCGTGCATACGTTGTGCCTCCATCCCCAGCAGAAAGACAACACAGTGAAAGGAACATTTGTCATAAAATCGTTGTTAGTGCATCATGAAATTTAGGCTGCAGGATGTTTGTCAAAAGCAGTTTGTCAACAATGTGGTGCAGTGGTTTGGGGTTAGGCTGTGCAGACCACTGCACATACTGAAAGGTCTGCAAGCAAAGAGTGTGCAGTGCTAATATGAACCCAAACCATGTACCACAAGAAAAAAATTCGAGATTTGGGTAAAGCGGCCACACCACCAAGTTGATGCCCTTTCATGTGCCTTGCAGATGGCTGAGCGAATCTCTATCCTTTCGAAACAAAATGCAGCCAGCTAACACTTCCAAACCTCGATCAATCCACAGCAGCTGTCACAGGCAGCAGCGATATCTTTAAAACAATGGCATGTCATGCAAACTGCAGTTTGCTGCAACCTATAATAGTCCAGTCCTCCCACCATGCCCCCCACCCACCCACACCCC